ATTTAATGTCTACAATTAGTTTTTATTTATGCGATGTAATAAATTTTAATATAAAAATAAAAATTTATGAGTTATAAGTTAATTAAAATATTGTATATCAGTGAATATAAATTCCCCCCAAAAAAACACTTGTTTTCACTCTGCAAAATCTAATCAAAAAAAAAACAAAATGATAGTTAATTATAATCGAAATGAAAACAAATGTCAGTCTTCTGATAATGAACTCTGTTTAAACCCTCCTATGTAATGACGCATGGTACACTCGTATGTATTCTATGAACTTATTTCAAATTTAAGTCATTTTTATAGAATGCGTATAAGCTTCCTTATCACAAGTCACATTTGTCAGTATCGTAAATGCAAGTCATAAATTACTTATTGTCATAATCCCACAAAAATATAAAATTTAAAAGGTGAACCACTTTTCAGACGTGTATGACCTCAACCATAGAGAAGAATTCTGTAATTATACAAAAAAGAAAAACAAAAAATTCGAAAGTTAATGCATTTAATTTATAAACACAACATATGTTTAGATAAGAGGAACAAATGTTTTGATATACGAGGCATATTGTATTTTAATCTGACCAATATCAGTAATTTTAGAACAGCACAAAACATTATCAATTAAGTTACCTAAAAAAGTTAATAACCAAAAAATATTCTAAAGTATTTCTCATTGTGCTTTACAGTGGTAATTACTAGAAAAATATCTCAACTACTAGAAATTTTTTTTGTACATATAATTGTATATATTTATGTCCTTATATATTTCTTTAATATTATTGTTTAAAACAGTGTTTCTCTTTTTATGGTAGCACCCACTGCAGATTTAAAAAAACATTTAAGTGCTTCAAAATTACATATACAAGGAGCTTTCAGAGAAGGTAAGCCAATATTTATTTTATTTATCCTCATTCGAATAAGGAAAATCGAGTCATAATTTTAAGCTTAACCTTCTAAATTGCCCTACTTAATAATCTACTTGCACTACTTACACTACTTAATAATCCAACTACCTACTCACCTGTTAAGAAACACTGGTTTCATTGGTCATACGGTGCGTATGAGTATCATATTTTCGCTTTAAACAATAAACTCTTATATGGAATTATGGTACTTTTAGTTATGATATCTCACTTCGTAGTTGATTTAGATATTTTTCACAAAAACAAGATTTATTTTACTAAATATTTTGTATGACAACAATCAATTGGTACGATAAGAAAATCATGATAATATTAATTTCTCATACTTATAAGGCTATAACTGTCATACTCTCTCATAACTTTGTAATATTTTTTTTAGTAACTATAAATTGTTTCATTATCATATCATAAATTAAATGTGTTTGGCAATACTCGAAACAGCTGTATGGTCAGCCAAAAATTCAATTAATTAAAATAATTTAAAAAATAAATTTTTGTTGTTGTTTCACTTCTGTTCGAAAACCTCTTTATATAAATTAAATGTAAAATTAATATCTCATACTTATAAGGCTAATTGTCATACGCTCTCATAAGCTTGTAATACTTTATTATAATTTATATTATATTATTTATTATATTATTTATAATAAATAATATAATAAATAATATAAAAAAATAAAAATAATTATTTATATTATTTATATTACAATTTTTCGTATTATCATATCATAAATTGAATACGATTAAGAAATATAAACAAACATTTTATAGAGGGCCAGCAATATGTAAAATTATTCGCAATGATAAATAAAATAAGGTACAATATTCCTACTAAATGCGAGTACGGAATGTTCTTAATATAACATAGTTAATAAATATTTCTTAGAAGCAATATTTCGCAACTGGATTTATTGTATTACTCAATATGTATAAAACCATAACAAAATTAGTGGAAACGAAGCATCAGAAAGGCAACAATTGTAAAGTCAAAATTGATATCATATATGAAGTCGATATGATATGAAATAGTCGCTAGTGATTAACAGATTTCAAGTATTAAATACTTTTACTACATGCCAATATAGCATTTAAGAATATACCAGAACATTATAAATAAAAAATATTTAAAAGTTATATTTTGCAAATATATTATTACTTAATATTTTTTTTTTTTTGTGGTAAGGAGGTGGAATACTTTATGCACCGTTAAACGGAACGTCGTCGAAATGGTGTGGCCGACTCCCTAACATTAATATGTAGTATACGGACTAAAACACCTCTTTGGCGAGACTTATTCCCCCTCAGAACCACTTTCGCATTACTTCGAAGAGTCCAGACCTCCACTTTTCCGCCACATTTTCTTGGTGTCTGCACTATTTATTATTCTAGTTTCTGGTTCTCCTTTCTAGCTCTAATTTCTTCTTACGATTTCTTAATATATAACTTTAACAAAATTAATAGAATCAATAAAATCAGCAAGGTAAAACTGTTAAACATGAAATTACTAGTTCAGAAATGACTAGAATAAGGTTTATAAAAATTTCTTAACAAATATAGTTTAGACTCTTAGAAAGAACCCTTGGTAGTAGTTGGTAGTAAACAAAAGCAATTTTTATTAAATCACAACTTATTGATTGGTTGTAGAGATAACATAGTGCTCTTTAGTTTCCAATTCCTTTAAAAGATATAAAGCAAACAGTTTTATTAAGATTGAACGGTTTTATTTTATTTAATAATGGGTGTTATGAACTTAAACAATGAAATAAAAAACCTAGAAGTTTGTGAGCTGAGTGGCTTGATGAAGACAAATGCATAAGTTACGGCAGGGTCAAACAGCAAATCATGCTAAGGTTAGAGTTTTAGCGTAACAGTCTTTCTTTCAAAGCTCCGTACGATAACCCATTTAAAAATTGTCACAAGTTGGTAAACTTATAACTTTGTTCCGAAATGGGAAGCCAGTGAGAGTAAGTCTGGACTAGGTGTAGGTGGTGTATTTATAAAAAGAAATACCAGAAAATGACAAAGTCCTCAGCCTGCAACCACGTTTAAGGCGCCGTTTGAGTGACAGGCTTTATTTTAAGCAGTTTGACAGTCGGTTGATGCCGTTCGGATCTCTTCAAGTAGGTGATATATACTCTTGCCTCCTTGTTTTGCTGATTGTATGTCAAGCTATCACTCTCTAACAGTCATTAGTGAAGAAGAGCCGCCTATTTAATGAAACTTAAAAAAAAGTGACCAACAACTATGCATCCAAGCGATACAAGAAATATGTTAAAATCAGAAATAATTGTTTGACATAAGTAGAAATTTTAAATTAAAGACTTTAAAAAGTGTTTCAATTTTTGTCACAACAAGATCTCAGATCAGATATCAAATATTTACACATCATTTATTTTGCAATCATTTATATATATATCAGTACTCGTTTAAATGCCAAATGAAGTAAATGATAAGCCATGCTGTTTTCTTTACAGGTGTATACAAATTCTATAGTTGCTGAGGAAGAGTACCCTAAAGTTGAAGTTCTCTGTCAGAATTTGTTGATTTAAAAAAAAATATTTTAATTTTAATGTTTTTCCGTAGACTATTATAAGTTTTAATAGGAGTTAAATTTAATAGAATTTAAGTACTTTATTTTATGTCTTCTTATTTATTATTCATATATAAGCAAGGTTAATCACCTGCAGCAGCAGCGGAGCCTGTACGTAAGTCACACGGATGGAAGTCTTAAATGACTAATAGGAACCCTACCTCGAAGTAAGACTAGAACAAGGACAATGTAGGATAAGGTCTCTAAGAATGAGAGGAGTGGTTTAATCCGTGCGAGTCGGGCGCGCACTTTTCGGGGCGCCGGATTGTGGTCAGTGCGTAGGCATTCAGGAGTGGAATATCGCAAAAAAAAAAAATAAAAAAAATATGTTATATATAAGAAACATATAATATTTAATATATTATATATTAATAATATTATATATTATAAAAACATATTTTTCATTATTTAAAATTAATATTTTTTTCTTCTAATCTATGTAATATTAATTCATTGATAATAATATAATATTCCCAATGACTTTATTAATTGATAATTAAAAAGACTATTTTTAATTTGAAATTACAGAGACCCACTGTCGTCGTACTATTTATCAGATATTAATAAAATATTATAAAAGTACTGTAAGATTACGGCTGAAATTTAGTGAAAATAAACAAAAATTAGAAAGAAAGAAGAAGCATTGAAAAAATACCCGCGAAAGTTGTACGAGACCCGGAGCTCATATAAAATGTGAAAACAGCGATACAAAGGCATTCATTCCAAAATGAGCGCACAGTAGAGTCGGACAGAGCACGTTCGGTCAAAGACGGTTCAATCACATTCATTCACACAGTACAAATCAAAAGCTTGCGGAAGCTTAACAACAAATCGTGTAAAATAAGAACACAAACAAAAACAAAAACAATAACAAAAACAAACACAATAAACAAAAAACACATTGTGTATGAATTAAGTTAATAATACTAGTCGCGCTGATTAAACATTGAATGGGAGTGATTCCCCAAACGTTCGGCAATTATCTACGTCAGAGCAGCTGAAAGCGATTTACGCGAATTATTTTATGCTTCAAGATACTTTGAGAATATGCGAAAATATTGAAAAGTGCTATTAAAATATATAAACAACAAAGACTGTTTATGTTAAAAACATTTAAGCATTTTGAATAAAAAACTGAGTTTTAATGTTTTCATATTGAAAATTGATTTTTGATGGAATTTTAGTTTGTTTGAATTTAATAAATTTTATGAATTTATTAAATATTCGCATATTTGTGTTAATTTGTGCTAAAATATAAATAAATATTAGTAAATAATTTAAAATAAATTTAACAAAATTAATGTGCATACAAAATTAGTTAAAGACGGTGATTTTTTCAATATAATTTGTCTGTTTTATCTGTTGAAAAAATCAAAGAAAAAACCAAATATAAAATTGAAAGCAAAATAAAAGCGAACAATTAAACTTAATTAAGTAAGGAAAAAAATTTCCAACCTAAATAAAGAAAAAATTATTAAAGAAAAAATAAAAACTACAAATAAAACAGTAAAAATAATTTACAAATTTTATGAAAAATGGGTGTTTGTATAATTGAAGACGATATCTCATCAGATTCCTACGATGAAGATTGTACGACTTGCTGTAGCAGCAGTAGCAGAAGCAGCACCGGAGTGAATATTCATAAAAATAAAACCGCAAAGCCAAAAATGGGTAGTTTCTATGAAACGAAAACTGAAATACTTAACAATGCAACAACAACTACAACGACAACAACACCGTTAGTAAACTTCCTACGTCCATCAAAGGATCTTGTGGGCAATTGCAAGGAATTTCGCATTGAAAATAATAAATGCGATTTACGCGTAATTGGGAATGGAAATCGTTTACGCATTGGGAATAATGAAGGCAGCATACAAGTGATTGGCAATAGCACAAGACTGAAGATCAACAACAACAGTGGTTACATTAAATACACTGGCAATGATGGTCGTGTTACACTCGGCAGTGAGTCTGCACAGCAGACTGTAGATTACATCGGCTGCAATGGTATTTTGAAAATCATAAATGCCATGCAGTTGAGCACCGTTCAGCGTAATAAGTGCAAGAAGGCTAAAACCAGCAGGGACACTACGCACGGTGCATGCGGTATGACAGAAACTGTGATTGAATCAAACGCGGCATCTTTCAAGCTCAGAGGCAAGTCTGCTTCATATGGTGGCGCTGAGAGTAATTGTAAGTTGAATAATAACAGTCCAGCAACTGATAACGCCACACAGTGGCAACAATTCAATAATGTTTTTACGAAAACCTTTAAAAACAAAAACTTATCTTTACCAAATTTAAAGGAAAACAATTTTAATAAAAATTGGTGTAATTGTAATGGTAGCAAATCTCAGAAGAATTGCAATATTAGTAATGACAACAAAAATAATTCAAAAAACAATAGCAATAAAATTAGAAGCAACAACATAAATGTTAGCAGTAACATAAATGTTATTAACAATGTTGGCAACATCGTTATCAGAAATTCGGTTAATGTTAATATATAAAAATATAGATTGATATTTATTATATTATATATAGTTACTTATATTATCATAGAGATAATTATTCAGTGTAAATTTCTTACACTAGAATTTCTAGAATTTAGTTTCAATAAATTCTTCTATTTATTTAAAAGCTAATTTAAAATGGATATCTATCGTAAATTATTCATATATACAATGGAATAAACTCGTCTAATTTTCTCTCTATTAGATATATTTAAATTTTAATAGTACTCTTAAAAAATGAAAGTAATTTCGAAATACAAAATACATTGAATGAATATATTTTTTCAATATAAAATATAAATCACAGCAGCTCATATATTTTCAACTGAATTGAATTATATTTTGTTTTAAAGTACATATATACCTGTATGATATATGTATTATCATATATGTGTATATATGCATATACTATACATTATACATTATATGCCATACTTAATTGAATTCCGTTACAATTTTTTAATATACTTTACCAAAAACTAATTTCGTTCTTGTTTTTTCAAGTATTATTTCGAATAAAATAAAAATTATTTTATTAGGAACACTTATTATTATTATATTTTTAATATAGTAAAATAGTGTTGAAAGTGTACAAAATGCACCAAATATTGAACATCACATTTAAAACAGTTATTTAAAAAAAAAGATGTTTATATTTTTATAATACTAAATCAAAATATTAATGATATAAATAAAAATCTTTTAAATAATAATAGAAGCTATATTTTTGTTAAATCCGACAAACATTTGACAAATGCTAACGAATTCTTGCCACATAGAGTACACTTAAAAAAATTATTACGGTACCAAAAGTACTTGTAAAACAAATAAACATTATATAAATTATACATTATATATTATTTTCAATTAAATAAAATATTCAATTATAATATATTTACAAATTGAGTAAATTTATTGAATAAAAATGAAAACATAATTAACTAAATACGCTTAATAAAGTATTAAGAACTGAATTTAATTAATTGATATGTGACTAAATATAATATTATGCGACTAAAGAATGTTATATCTATATAATATATATTTTTTATGTTTAAAGTTATGGATAGGAGTAAATTATTTTTATTTATAAAAAACTATATAATAAAAATATTAAGGAATATATGTTGTAAGAACCAACAAAAACCAATAATATGTTGATTTATATTTGATATTAGTTCTGATTTAAAATTTAATATATATAATTATATATATGTTGCATAATACAAAAAGTACTACATAATTCTATATAATATATACAATTCTATATATATTTGTCAATATTTTTGTTGAGGTTGTAAAATTGTAATACACACACAAAATACAAATATAATTTTTTTTTATATATAACTATCTTTAGTTAACGGTTTGCTCTTTAATGTGAATTAAACAGAAGAAATAAATTATTTATTTTTGTATAAATAAATTTAAAATTTATTTACAATAAAACAAACCAATTTAAAAAAAAATCAAATATATAAAAAAATTAAAAACTTTATAACATTTGAAATTACACCATCAATTAATGTACTTATCTTAAATTAATGTTATTACTTAAAAATTCAAAAAAATGTTATATATAAAATTTTTTAATAGCAGAATAGAGTTTTTGTTATAGATTCTTAAAGTGTGATCTGTTAATATTATAAGTAAATATGACTGCTATTGCCTCTAAGGCCCATTTCACACATTTTAACGCATATAAAATATTTATAGTATATAATTACTTATTTATTTCTATATTGTAACTAAATCTAATTATATAGTAAATTATAAAAAATATTTATTTAATTTATTGTTACATTTAGTGAAATTCAATTTGTATTTTTACTAAAGTTTAAGTCATTCTGTGAATGATTAATAAGACAATATTTATTGAAAGATGATTAAATATTACATAAATAATAAACAAATAAATTTCCTTTAAAAAATAATATTTTGTACTTTTTTCTGTTATCATTGTAAACATGATTAAATCAAATTTTAAGAAGAAAAACAACTGCGAAAGTACGAAAGTTCGTAAAGGAAACGCTTGGGGTACCGTACCGGTGACTAACCGACATTTTTTAACAATTACATTAAATGGACAATTCGTGGTAAAAGGTTTTTTACCAACTTAAAATTTTTTTTTTTAATATTTAAAATATTGATGAAATTTGTATATATTTTATGGGGACGTCCCCTCACCAATGACATACAATCAATAATTATTGTATATTGACCTAGATTTTTCTTCGAACAAAACAACAACAAAATTTCCAATACTTCCATACTTTAATTGTTGTTGTTTTTTAGCTAAACAAAAACTAGCCAATAACATTATATCTCTTATCTACATACATATATATATATATATATTTATTGTTATATAGCACTAAACAAGAAATTTGGTATTACTCGTATTATGAGATATTAACAGAAGAATTTACTCTATTGATGAACTAGTATGTGATTGTTATCGTAGCTTGTATTTTTACGGATAAACGCTTAAACAATGAATAATAAAAGCACTCATAGATTAGAAGAAAATAAAATAATCTTATAGGACTAATTAAGCCTAAACCTATTTTTACGTTAAGTGCTATTAATAAAAATATATTGAAGAAAAGACTTTCATGCTTACATCATTTCAGTTTTCCTACCCATTTGTAAACAGATAATAGTTAGGATGATGGTAGTCAATGGCATATTTTCACAAAAATAGCATCTTGCCTCGACTACCGAACCATTCAGTGTGATTCTGGTACAAGTAATAGGGATTCCTACGCAGCAAAATGAGCCCTATGCAACAAAGTCTCCGATGTAAATATCTCGAACTATCAAGTTGCTTTCAAATTTCTGATAAATGCTACAGCTACATCCTTAACAGTTCAAGAATGTCGGATTTCTCTTAACGAGCTAGCAAGACGAGCTAGTGTCCAGGTCATATGCGTATCAGGACTCGGACAACTACAGAGCAACCGAGTTTGCCAAAGCAGGTAGTTTGCTTTTCATGACATTGATTTCTTGGATATTGATTGATGTCCGACTTGCAATGGCCAAGCTGGCAATTTAACAAAATTGATTAACTTGCTTAACAAACTTGGGAAGATAAAAACTCCCATCTAATTTCATAATCCACCTGGATCAGACCTGGACAAGAAACGTAGCAGATTTCTGGTTACCTGCTGTGTCAACCAAACGGTACTGACAGCACACTACATACTAGGAAGTCACTACTATGAAAATGAGTCTACTCTGTAATGACTTTTGTCGGGGTTATGTATCTGTGTATAAGAAGGAAACTGTATAAAAAATTTGTTGAGAAAGCAACGCATATGTTAGTCAATGCTAATTTAAGCCCATTAGTAAACCTTACAAAGAATCACCGCAATTTTAAAAAAATTAAATACAATAAGTGAATTAATAAACTATATTACTAGGAAATAGATGCATTTTCAGATCGTTCAATAGAAGTCTGCTTAACTATTAACACAAAAAAAATAAAAAACAAAACAAAAATAGAAACCACAACGGACACCAAATAAAGATTAAATGTTTTTAAATACAGTCGAGCTATGAGACACGTATTACTCTCTTCTGAATAATTGTAAAAGACAGTCTATATGAAAATGTTAAGTGGAGTCCGAAAAGCATTAATAAGAATTGTGGCAGATCTAGTATCTACTATCCAAACAGAGTCGGTAACTGCAAGTTTTAATATATACGACAAATTAACTGATATTAACATCAATGCTTGTCTTGAATTAAAACTCAGATTTTCTAAATTGATTTAATTTTTTAAATAATTGAATATGATTAAGTTTTATTAAGGAAATTATTTTTAAAATAATGCTGAATGAATATTAAATATCTCTCTTCATATACTTGGTATAAAAAAAATAAGTTTGTCAGAAAATTTGTAACATAGTGAAGTAGACGTCTAAAGATATATACATATTTTTATAAACTATATATAGTTTGATCATCATTACATAGTAGTAGCACATAGTTTTATAGTAATATATGTCTGTCCGTATGTTTTTCTGTTTGTTAATTTTTCTACTCTCAGTTTTTAAGGTAATGAAATGATAATTTGCACTAAATCTAGACAGTTGAAGACAACTGATGACTGAAATTAGTGGATAATGAATAGTATGAGCGGTTAACTCTCATGAACCGCTCGTACAAAATAATTTCCAAAAATGAGTTTATATATATCATATATGCACCACAGATGGTATATATAAGTTAAATATTCTTTCATTTAATCAGAAGTATTGATGTTGCTTCTTCGGAAGCTAAAGCAGAAGAGATCGAGCGCACTTTTGCGAAGTTAGGAGCTACCGAAGCCAAACGGGACTTTTCCAAACAAACAAGTGGATGTCCCGTTTGGTAGCAACCATGCGTTCGAACAATATCGCATGATTGCTCCGTTAATGAAACTAAGCACAGGGCCGAATTTAGGGTACGCGTGTGTTAACTTATATATACAATAAATAATATAAATACGAATTTTTGTGTGAAAAAAAGTGTATTTAGGAAAAGGTGATTATTGGATTTGTAACAAAGTCTCTGTGTGAAGGGTGTTAAAACTTTGGCTAACTATCATTTCTATTTTATTTTCAGTTTAAAATCAAAAAAAATTTATAATTTTGTCATAATAGATTTAATACGAAAGTATTTGAGAAGCCATGGATGATGTCAGTTAGTTACTAAGTCTGAACTTTGAAGAATGTTGTCACTTTTTTTAATTTATCAGAAACAAGTTTGACTCACGTTTGTCAAAATTTATTATTAAAAATATAATAATTTTTTTTTTTATATATAAAATGTTACAATGTGAACTTTCATAAAGACTATCCAATTAAAAAATTCTCAACGGCGACCTAAATACTATTGTTTTTATATTTTAAATAGGTACATATGAACTCAAATATATGTTTTAAGTGCTGTTTTTATTGCGTGTAGTCTTCAAAGGAATGTTTAAATTATACAATTAAAATATTGTTGTCTAT